AAAAAAAAATGTAAAGTATAATGAAAAAAAGAGAAAATTGGCTGTAGAACTAATGTAGCTTGGTCACAATGAATAAACAGAGATAGACTGATAGAGAGGGTGCATAAATAAGCCACAGATGAAAAGAGGTGTAAGAGGCCCATGAAGAATGGTTGCAGGGTATAAAAAGAAGTGTTAAAAGATAAGGGATTAAACTTCCATTAGGTATATATGAGTTATGACTCACGAAATCGTAATGACACAATTACAAACAAACCATACCACGGGCAGGGTTAGAACCCGCTAGCTGGCCCAGTGGCTAATGCGTCGGTCTGGAGTTTTGTGACTCTCTGATCACGGGTTCTAAACCCACCCGTGGTATGGTTTATATACGAGTTATGTTATATATAACTGAAGTGGAGGCAAGTACTTCAAGAAATACTAGTATAAACAAGGAAATATCTCCAAAGGAATTTGCAGAAACAAATTACCTGTATTATGGGATGCAAATGTTGTGATATGGTAGGCCAACACTGTACCTGTCTGGAAAGTTAACTACTGTACCATGACAAGAAGCAGCTGATGAACTAAAAATTGTGTGTTGTACTGTATATAAAATATATTTTTAACCTTTATATTCCTTAATTCTGAGCTTCCATTCAGCCAACTTATTTTCATCACAACAGGTTAGTTTGTGAATTTTACTATTCTTAATGTTTTACAGACTTCTTAAGCACTGTAAATGAATGCACATTTCATGCTCTACAGTGGCTGCAATAATAACCCAGACCTGCCTGCATTGTGAAGAATATAAAGCGGTATGGATTCATATTACGTATTTGATGCTATAGTTCAACTGAACTGTGAGTTGATACAAAAGAGTGAGGCATGTATTACCTCTTAGTATGCCTACACACAACAGTGAGGTAAGGTGTTCTGTTGTGCTGCTCTACACTTATAAGCCCAGGATTTGAATCTGTATTTAGTGCTGTGTAATTTTGTGCCAAGAAAAAGTCACCATAAAGAAAATTTGTCACCATACTGGAGGAACAAAGTTCAGCATAATTGCATTACCTGCTGCTGCCTGTGGCCTCCCACCAGAGGTCATTCCCACTACATAACCTCATACTGGACAGCCAAGGAGGACGTCTAAACACACAAATAACATTCCATGCAGAGAACTAAATAAAAATTCACATACGACTGCATCACAGCTCCAAGAAATACATCATGAACTCCTGGGTGACCTCTCAATTTGGAGAATTCAATACCACCTGCAAAAGGACCTTCACCTGCCAAGTTGTCATGCTACAAGGAAACCCATTCTCATATCCTGTATGAAGGAACACCTGCAGGTTGCCAGAAAATACGCACACTGGAATGTTAACCCTTTCAGGGTCCGTGCCGTAGATCTATGGCTATACATTGAGGATCCAAACCGTAGATCTACCCCATGAGCTCAGCTCACTCTGATAAGCTGTGAGTGGTAAATTTGTGCCTAGATATAAGAGAATACATCTATGTGGTATGTGTGCACCATATAAAACAAATGCTGCAGCACACAGTGCATAACGAGAAAAAAAAACTGAGACCGTAATTTTCGATTAAAACAGCGACTTTGCAGTGCCTTTTCGTATGTTTTTTATAGTTATATTTGTGATTTCTTGGTCTCATTTGATAGAATGGAAGATATATTACAGAAATAGAGAAGATTTTGATTGGTTTTAGTAATGGAAATAGCTTGAAACCGAGCTTAAATAAGCAAAAATGTTCAATTTTTGCCGATGTTCAAGAGTAAACAAATGACCTCACACATCTAATACACGCCAGCTAATGGGTCTAATATACATTCACAAATGTGGTGATATTATTTATATAATTATTACAATATTGCATAACAGTAAATCTTATATTTTTTGGTTTGAATAAAAATTCATTATGTGAATAAAAAATAAAAATGGAATTCATTTGTAAAGCCTGAAAAACATAACTAATGAACAGAGGAATTGTTAGTTTAGTTCCAGGAATGCCTGCATTGTTTATTCTGAACCTTATTTTGAAATTGAAATATTTTGAACTTTGCATTAAACTGGACAAATTACTAATTTCCAATCAATTCATTTTGTAGTTGAAACAGTTGACTTGGCGATTTCTTGTGCTCAATTGATAGAATAGAAGTAATACTAGTGAAATACCCAAGAATTTGCTCGACTGGAATAATGTAATTGGCCTAAAATGGGAGTCAAAGTCGGCATAATCGCCGATACGTAAATATCGCTGACACGTCAAAGTTCGTGAGAGCATAATTTTGTCAATTTTCCATCAAATTTCGTACTTTTTGTTTTATTACCTCTGAATTCAGAGAAAGATTCTCTAGCATTTCATAAGAAAAAATAACAATTATTTTTTGAAAATTCTTGGACCCTGGTGTGGACTTTGAAATTTGGCCTCTGGACCCTGAGAGGGTTAATGACTGGATAAATCATATAGTCAGATGAATGCACATTGCAGTGTAGTGAAGGTCATCAAAGTGGTAAGTTTTGCCTTGTGACATGACGGTTTCACCAAACATATGACAAGTATCTTCCTTCATAAACCATACCCCCGGCCGGGATTGAACCCGCGGACTCTATGACCGCGGGTTCAATCCCGGCCGGAGGTATGGTTTATTTGCAATCGTGTCATTACGATTTCTTAAGTCATCTTCCTTCATCATCCACATGCTGGAAACAGCCACACACGTCATTGTCATCCAGACTAAACAAACATCTGATCTAATAAAACAGACTATCATACTTTGAGTGGTTCCAAGAGCCTAACTTTGTATGTAAGAAGCACTCCCTAAATAACTGATTTTGAAAGAAATACACAACAATAAAAGATTATGTAAGACATCCAAACACCTTAACAGAGGTTTGTTGTTGATGCATTTTCATAAAAATTAGCAAATAAATTTGGCCCTTTAAGCTGCATGTAATGTTCCACTGAGAAAAAAAAAGTGTTTTTCTTGGGGAAAGAGGCATGTTACCAGAGCCTACACTTTGTTAGGTCTTGCATCATCTAAAATTTAGAGGAACCCTTGTTATAAATCTTGTGTACATCTTTATTTAGCTGCAATATTTGCTTATATTAACCCCTTAACTGTCCAAATGTAGATCTATATTCTTACCGCTTTCGCTCCAAACGTAGATCAACGTTTTATTTTTTCTGCCTCCAAATTTGGCACAATTGGCCTAAGATGCCTGGTCAGCAGAAATGGGTCTTAACCCTCAGTGTGTGCTTATTAAAAAAATCTGGGACCATTTAGAGCCTTGTGGGAGCACCAGTTCAACTGAGCGCCAACAACACCAAGGATTCACTAATGTCATGTCACATTAACACTCCCCTTGTAAGAGGAAAGTGTCATCTTGCCAAAATGTCCTATAACCTATGCCCTAAGTAAAAAAAAAAAAAGTCTGGAACTGTAATTTCGGCAGGCTGGCTGGCCAACTGGCTAGCTGGCAGGCTGATTGACTGTCTCTATCCCCGTTTGTCTGTCTGTATCTATCTCTGTGTCTATCTCACAGGAACACATATATAAATTCAATTCTACATATTATAAATTACCTAGGATAACCCAAAAAATCCAGACAAAGTGCTATACTGTGCTTGTACATAGTGATTGTGTGTAATACCAGATGGTTCATGAGCAACTCTGAGACAGACAGATAGACAGACAGATACATAGACAGGCAGACATATTTATGTGTAAGAGTGAAAACAAATAAAGTGAAGGCTCATCAAATGTCACTACTGTCATTAGCAGAGAAAGATAAGATAAAATGACACTCATCAAATGTCACCACTGTCATTAGTGGAGAGATAAGATTAGATAAGACGATGCTCATTATTGTCAGCAGTGGAGTGAAGAGACAAGATAAGACTACTTGACTACTTAAAAGTGTTCCAGGATAGACCATTATCACATGACTACTTAATTATGTTCCAGGATGGATCATTCTCACTTGATAATGCTCCAGGATGGATCATTATCACTTGATAATGCTCCAGGATGGATCATTATCACTTGATAATGCTCCAGGATGGATCATTATCACTTGATAATGCTCCAGGATGGATCATTATCACTTGATAATGCTCCAGGATGGATCATTATCACTTGATAATGCTCCAGGATGGATCATTATCAATTGATAATGCTCCAAGATGGACCAATATCACTTGATAATGCTCCAGAATGGACCAATATCACTTGATAATGCTCCAGGATAGACCATTATCACTTGATAATGCTCCAGGATGAACCATTACCACTTGATAATGCTCTGGATGAACCATTATCACTAGATAATGCTCCAGGATGGACCATAATTTGTTTACTTTCGCCAGGATGGACATCATTTGTTTATTTTTGAACATCGGCAAAAATCAAACATTTCCCCTACTTTGAGCTCCATTTCAAGGTTCTTTTCATAGTAAAACCAATCAAAATCACCTCTATTTCTATAATACGTTTTCCATACTATCAAATGAGACCAAGAAAACGATGTTACAACCATAAATACTATACGAAAATAGACCACTAATTCGGCATTTTAATTAAAAAAAAAAAAAACGGTTTGAGTTTTTTTTCTCAAAATGCACTGTGTGCTGCAGGATTTTTTTATATGGTGCACACTGACCACACAAACCCATTCTCTCACATGTGGGCCTACCAGCTTTCTTCTGCTTGATTTGAAGCCACTAGAATTTATGAGTATATATAGGTCAAAAATGGTGGCTCGTAAGACGTATATATACAACCAAAACAGTCAAAGGATTAATACATTACCAATTATACTAAATGAATAAATTAATCCTCAAAATGTAAAATTTACAACATATTATCAAAACCTAACTTACTTTTCATCAGTAGCAGTAAGAATGAGTATGTAAAATATCTTAAGCTCTTTCAAATTCACAAACAAGAAAAGATAGAAATAAACAAGATAATTAAAAACAAATAGAAGTCAAATACAAACCTGCCACAATGGTGCATTCAGTTGGTGAATCACAACCACGACTTCATGAAGACGAGCGAAGGCAACAATGCAGTCATTGCCGGCATAGGTGCCAAGCTCTGCTAGGTTGCTCACTGTGGATACAAATTTGCATTCTTTAAAACTACAACAATACAAAAATATTTATATATCTATCCACCATTACATGTACACTTCATTTCTAAAATGTCTACCTTCACACACATACTTTTATATATTTTTAAATGATTAATCTTCTTTTTTAAATTTGTTAAAATAATTCAGGTGCTATTTTATAGCTTTAAAATATTTACTATGTCTTGTACTTAATTCTAACTATAGATTCACTATAAATCTTATAACAAGCATTGATCCTGATACCAACCTCTTATCTAATGACTTAAATGAATCAAACAGTAACTGTAATTACTACACAGCAGAACAATCAAAGGCACTTCTCAGATCCAACAACATAACTCTCTTTAACTACAATATCAGATCTTTAAGCAAACATTACGATGCCCTCATAGCATTACTAAATTCCCTGCATGCCAGTATATCCATCATTACTCTCACCAAAACCTGGCTAAAGCCTGATACTACAGATGTCTATGCCATTCCTGGTTACACAGCCATACACAACTATAGGCCAGATCAACAAGGGGGTGGCACAGCTATACTACTCAGACCAACTAGAATGTATCACTAATACTTGCACAAGGGATGAACATGGGGAATATATAATAGCTAAATTCAAATCCAAATACCTACAAAAACCTCTCACAGTAATAAATATCTACAGAGTACCAGTCAAACATTAGCCGTTTGAGTGAAAACCTAGGAAGTATGATAACTGATGCACGCATGAACAAAGATCACTTACTACTCTCAGGTGACTTCAATATAAATCTCCTGCAAAACCAAGACCCACACATTACTGAATTCACAAACACTATGAGTAACTGCATGTTGCTACCAACAGTAACAAAACCTACAAGAGTTACAGAGACTAGTGTTTCCCTACTTGACCACATCTGGACCAACACCATACCCCCCTTAAGATCAGGCATAATCACAGATAATACCACAGACCATTACCCTACCTTCCTCATAACAAACCTTGGCAAATTACCCCTAGACACTACTAAAGTCACTTTCAGACTTCACAATGAGGCAGCTATCAATAACTTCACAGCAGCAGTGACAAACATTGACTGGCACACTGAGCTAGAAATCTATACAGATATTGATGAATGTATTAATAATTTTCTAAAAAAGACCTAATACCTCTATAACAAGCACTGCCCTAAAAAAACTAAACAGATGACTGCAAAGAGACTGAACAGTCCCTGGCTAACACCCAGTATCCTCAAATCCATAAATACAAAGCACCTACAGTGGACCCCTGGTTAACGATATTTTTTCATTCCAGAAGTATGTTCAGGTGCCAGTACTGACCGAATTTGTTCCCATAAGGAATATTGTGAAGTAGATTAGTCCATTTCAGACCCCCAAACATACACGTACAAACGCACTTACATAAATACACTTACATAATTGGTCGCATTGGGAGGTGATCGTTATGCGGGGGTCCACTGTATATGAAAAACAGTACAGAATGGGCCACATAACCAGAGACCAAACAAAATGTTACTCGTCAATCCTAACCAGCCTAATAAGAAGGGCTCAAAAATTGTATTATGAGAACAGATTAACCAACTTACGAGGTGACATAAAAAAGACTTGGAAAACCCTATCAGAAATACCAGGAACAAAAAAGATAACACGAAATAGCGAAATTGAATTAACAAAACCAGATGAACCCCAATTCCCACCTACTGAAACAGCAAACAGACTCGATTTCTTCTTCACTATCGGAAAAAAACCTTGCCGATGAAATCCCAAGCTCAGATACCCCACTCAATGACTACCTCACTGGCAACTACCCGAACACAATGTTCCTAGCTCCGACTAACCCAACTGAAGTCTCCCTTATTATCAACACACTAGAAAACAAGACAGGAAATTTAAATACCTTACCACCCATTATATACAAAAGTGTCACAGGTGCTATCACCAATCATTGCAACACTCTTTAACAAATCCATTGAATCCTCTACCTTTCCTACAGTTCTCAAAATAGCAAGGGTCACCCCGATCCATAAAGGAGGAGACCACACAGACTTGAATAACTATAGGCCAATATCCAACTTACACCCTCTTTCTAAAATCTTTGAAAAATTAATCCATAAGTTTATCTATTCCTACCTCATCTCCCACAACATACTCAACCCCTGTCAATTTGGGTTCAGGCCTAATAAAAATACTAATGATGCTATTATCCACATTTTTTATTTTATTATTATCACACTGGCCGATTCCCACCAAGGCAGGGTGGCCCGAAAAAGAAAAACTTTCACCATCATTCACTCCATCACTGTCTTGCCAGAAGGGTGCTTTACACTACAGTTTTTAAACTGCAACATTAACACCCCTCCTTCAGAGTGCAGGCACTGTACTTCCCATCTCCAGGACTCAAGTCCGGCCTGCCAGTTTCCCTGAACCCCTTCATAATTGTTACTTTGCTCACACTCCAACAGCACGTCAAGTATTAAAAACCATTTGTCTCCATTCACTCCTATCAAACACGCTCACGCATGCCTGCTGGAAGTCCAAGCCCCTCGCACACAAAACCTCCTTTACCCCCTCCCTCCAACCTTTTCTAGGCCGACCCCTACCCCGCCTTCCTTCCACTACAGACTGATACACTCTTGAAGTCACTCTGTTTCGCTCCATTCTCTCTACATGTCCGAACCACCTCAACAACCCTTCCTCAGCCCTCTGGACAACAGTTTTTGTAATCCCGCACCTCCTCCTAACTTCCAAACTACGAATTCTCTGCATTATATTCACACCACACATTGCCCTCAGACATGACGTCTCCACTGCCTCCAGCCTTCTCGCTGCAACATTCATCACCAATGCTTCACACCCATATAAGAGCGTTGGTAAAACTATACTCTCATACATTCCCCTCTTTGCCTCCAAGAACAAAGTTCTTTGTCTCCACAGACTCCTAAGTGCACCACTCTCCCTTTTCCCCTCATCAATTCTATGATTCACCTCATCTTTCATAGACCCATCCACTGACACGTCCACTCCCAAATATCTGAATACATTCACCTCCTCCATACTCTCTCCCTCCAATCTGATATCCAATCTTTCATCACCTAATCTTTTTATCCTCATAACCTTACTCTTTCCTGTATTCACTTTTAATTTTCTTCTTTTGCACACCCTACCAAATTCATCCACCAATCTCTGCAACTTCTCTTCAGAATCTCCCAAGAGCAGAGTGTCATCAGCAAAGAGCAACTGTGACAACTCCCACTTTATGTGTGATTCTTTATCTTTTAACTCCACGTCTCTTGCCAAGAGCCACGCATTTACTTCTCTTACAACCCCATCTATAAATATATTAAACAACCACGGTGACATCACACATCCTTGTCCAAGGCCTACTTTTACTGGGAAATAATTTCCCTCTTTCCTACATACTCTAACTTGAGCCTCACTATCCTCATAAAAACTCTTCACTGCTTTCAGTAACCTTACACCTGCAACATCTGCCACATTGCCCCATTGCCCCCCTATCCACCCTGTCATACGCCTTTTTCAAATCCATAAATGCCACAAAGACCTCTTTAGCCTTATCTAAATACTGTTCACTTGTATGTTTCACTGTACACACCTGGTCCACACACCCCCTACCTTTCCTAAAGCCTCCTTGTTCATCTGCTATCCTATTCTCCGTCTTACTCTTAATTCTTTCAATAATAACTACCATACACTTTACCAGGTATACTCAACAGACTTACCCCACTATAATTTTTGCACTCTCTTCTGTCCCCTTTGCCTTCATACAAAGGAACTATGCATGCTCTCTGCCAATCCCTAGGTACTTTACCCTCTTCCATACATTTATTAAATAATTGCATCAACCACTCCAAAACTATATCCCCACCTGCTTTTAACATTTCTATCTTTATCCCATCAATCCCGGTTGCCTTACCCCCTTTCATTTTACCTACTGCCTCACGAACTTCCCCCACACTCACAACTGGCTCTTCCTCACTCCTACAAGATGTTATTCCTCCATGCCCTATACACGAAATCACAGCTTCCCTATCTTCATCAACATTTAACAATTCCTCAAAATATTCCCTCCATCTTCCCAATACCTCTAACTCTCCATTTAATAACTCTCCTCTCCTATTTTTAACTGACAAATCCATTTGTTCTCTAGGCTTCCTTAACTTGTTAATCTCACTCCAAAACTTTTTCTTATTTTCAACAAAATTTGTTAACATCTCACCCACTCTCTCATTTGCTCTCTTTTTACATTGCTTCACCACTCTCTTAACCTCTCTCTTTTTCTCCATATACTCTTCCCTCCTTGCATTGCTTTTACTTTGTAAAAACTTCTCATATGCTAACTTTTTCTCCATTACTACTCTCTTTACATCATCATTCCACCAATCGCTCCTCTTCCCTCCCGCACCCACTTTCCTGTAACCACAAACTTCTGCTGAACACTCTGACACTACATTTTTAAACCTACCCCATACCTCTTCGACCCCATTCCCTATGGTCTCTTTATCCACATGCTAGAACATATTTATACAGCAATAGAGAAAAAAGAAGTCCCACTGGGGATCTTCATTGACTTACGTAAAGCTTTCGATACAGTTGACCACAACTTGCTCCACATAAAATTGTCGCACTATGGTATAAGAGGGCACTCCCTCAACTACCTAAAATCATACCTCAGCAACAGAAGCCAATATGTGTACACAAATGGGGTAAACTCTTCTGCACAGCCAATTACAGTTGGTGTCCCACAGGAAAGTGTCCTAGGCCCTCTTCTCTTTCTCATATACATAAATGACCCACCAAATGCATCGCAACTACTCAACACACTATTTGCAGATGACACTACATACGTCTACTCTCACCCGAGCCCAGTCATGCTAGTCAATACTGTAAATACCGAATTACAGAAAATATCAACCTGGATGAGGACCAACAAACTTACTCTAAACATTGACAAAACCTA